GCCATAACTTTTGAACAGTTAGAGCTAGGGCTTTCATACATCACATATGTGATCCTTATGACAAGACCTTCCTTTGGATACCAACCACTTTGACTTTTTGACCTTGACCTAGGAGTTTTACCTAGTTTTGAAAAACTTTAACCTTGGCCATAACTTTTGAACGGTTGGAGCTAGGGCTTTCATACTTCACATATTTAATCCTTGTGACATCACCTTCCTTTGAATACCAACCACTTTGACCCTTTGGCCTTAATATAGGAGTTTGACCTACTTTTGAAAAACTTTAACCTTGGCCATAATTTTTGAATGGTTGGTGCCAGGGCTTTCATACTTCACATATGTAATCCTTGTGACAAGACCTTTCTTTGGATACCAACCACTTTGACCCTTTGACCTTGACCTAGGAGTTTGACCTACTTTCGAAAAACTTTAACCTTGGCCATAACTTTGAATGGTTGGTGCTAGGGCTTTCATACTTTACATATGTAATCCTTGTGACAAGACCTTCCTTTGGATACCAACAACTTTGACCTTGACCTTGTTGTTTTACTTACTTTTAAAAAAAACTTTAACCTTTGCCATAACTTTTGAACAGCTGCAGCTAGGGCTTTCAAATTTAACATTTTTTATCTTTTGGCCTGGATTTTGACTTGCATTTGAGAAACTTTAACCTTCGCCATACGGGGGCATCAGTGTTTCATAAACACATCTTGTTTCACACATAATTTAATACCTACCTAATGTTTATACAATGTAAGTATTTTACCATGATTAGAAGTAAGAAGTTATAATGCCAGAACTGGTAAATACATAATTAAATGATAACTGAAGTGTATCCATTTCATAGAAACACAAGAAAATTGTGCTCACGCGTTTTAGATAAATAAATTTTCATTTTCTTCTTTGAAAATGTGTAAAATATGTTTGAATTCTTTAAAAACTGAGAAAAAACATGGTTGTGTATGCAGCACTTCACAACAGAGGAGCATGGTATGGCCGATTTAATACTGTGGTGTCTTCCGGGTGTTTCCTTGGAGATGTTTATTTAAAAAATAAAAAAATTGTTTTTTTTTTCTTTTGGTTGAAGTTCATTAACATGTATATTATATTGAATGTTAAAATGTCACCTCTGGGTAAACACGACATTTAATAACACACAACTACTGCAAGATTGCACCTTAAAATTGTGGCAAGTGTGTGACGAACCAGTTACGAATACCAAAGCACTAATTATGTGACTTCTAGGCAACATGTTGGACATTTGCTTGATATCGTTTGAAAGACAGGGCCACGTTGATGCAACCTCTCTAACAGCCAAGGTAACCGACAACATTATAATTATATCAGTCCACAATGGGTGTGCAATCGACTCCAGGAAATTAGTTTTCACGCAAGAGGGCCATTTGAGGGAGTAGTGTCGCATTAAAGACACCAGCAAATTCGACTGCAAAACCCTAGACACGGCAATTAGAAAATTTGTCTAGTGTGCACTGTTATGGAACATTGTATTTCATACATGTAGAAGACAATAATGTTTATCAAACGCTTGTTTTAAGTTTAGACCAAGAGCGATTAAATCAGTTAAAAGTTTTTAAAAGATTTTAGTAATGTGTGTTAAAAGAAGTAGATAGAATGAGGAGAATGTGCCGGATACGGTTGTAAAAATAGTTGCGAGACTGAAGTAGGTTATACATGTTGTAGGAAACCAAATGTTAATAGATTGTAGCATATTTACAAATTTCTTCAGGATTGATTGCATGCATGTTTAAAGGCAGAGATTTTTTACCGGGTAGTAAATTCCAGGTGAGGGAGGGGCTTATTTTGTACACGTGTGAAAACCTTGAGGGCTAGCAGTCTACCTGTGGTTCGTTTGTCTCCTAATCCCAATACACAGGAAGTGATTTAATACACAGTAAAGTACCCAAGAAGTCAAACTTTACCTGTGTTGGGATTTTGAGATGATTTTAAATTAGAGAAATAAAAAGTTGTAAATAAAGTTTAATCTCAGTGATTTTTAGTAATTTGTAATTGTATGTGTGTCAAATCATCCCCATCCATTAAAAAAATATTATTCAAAGTATTTGTTGAGCTTTGAAAAAAAGTTATACAAAATTTTGATATATATTATTATTATCATAAAGAATATCATAATTATTTCAAATACTTAAGGTATGTATATACATGTTATCAAGTTAAAAATTCCATAGTAATACAGCTTTTCTATTGTTTATACCATCTGTGGTAAATATCAAAGGATCAAAAGTTAATTTGAAGGTCACCACGAGTGCCAAACAAGGTGAACAGGGTATACACAGGACTAGTAAGTAAATGTCAATCAAGTTCTAGCACCCAATGATGTACCTTAATGCACTTGATTGACAGGGGTACACAGACCAGGTATTTTCGAAGGAGGTGCTTAAAATCTCTGCCTTTAATTAGATGAAGTATGAACCTGGTAACAGTTTTTTGTATCTTATTTATCCTTGATCTATCATAATATGTCTAAAACTATGGCAGTTTTTCGTTATTCTTTGTCTAACCAATGACATGTGTCTGTATTGTTCTGTTTATGTGCTTATTAAATGTGAACAATAGAAACAGCCGTCATGCATCCAGATTAGGACAGTCGCCACAAGCTGTCGATGGACTGAATTAAGCCCCCGATTACTCGACTAGGCTATAAGAGTGAAAATTGGCTTCTCTAGTAATTACAGTAAATATAAATTGCTTTTATTCTGTTTAGAGGCAACAACATTATAAGCTACTTACGTAATATTACTGCGTAAATCACTCAAATAACGTCTACAAAAGAAAATGGGACAGATGCCCAATAGATAGACATACAGCCAGACATGCAGTGAGACAACCTCTAGTCCCTTTTAGTAGAGGAATAACAAAAATTTCTACTAAAATTCAAAACAAATGTTCGATATACATGTAATTCTACTTAATCATATCTGTACTTTGTAAAGAAAGTTTGGATATATATTCTTGTTATCAATCCGTCTGTCACACTTTCTTTTTCTTGTAATTCCTCTTAAACTTTTAGCAGTAAGTAATGCAATTCATCTCTTTGGAAGTGATACATTTAGGTCGTGTCCTGTAGATGTGAAGTAAGGTCAGGTTTCACCCTAGGGGCCAAATGGAGTTGGAAAACGATGTTTTTTATTGTTATTTACTTTTATACGAGAACCTGGCCAAAAATTCTCTTACTTTTATGCAGTAGAATAATCCTTTGCAATGTGATTGGTTGTGTCTGTTGATGTGCAATAAGGTTTCGGAATTTTTCTTTTCACCCTAGGCTGCTAGGAACCAAATGGGGGATGAAAAACCACGTATAATTTTACACAGAATCCTGCTTCCAAGAACTCAAACATATTACCCAGTAGCCAGATCATATCTTTTGAAGGTAATTGACGGAGTCTTGTAGATTTGCAATAAAGTGTTGGCATTTTTATCTTCATGCACCCCAAGGGCCAAATGGGGTCGAAAAATAACTCTACTTTTTTTAAAAAAAAAAAAACCTGGTTCCCAGAACTTCTCTTACATTTTAGTCAGTAGCCGTTTCTTCTTTGCAAGATGATTGGTGGTGTCCAGTAGAAGTGCGATAATGTTTCGGATTTTTTTTTTCACCTGGGAAACAAATAGTGGACGAAAAACGACTTACAAAAACCTGGTTCCCAAAATTCCTCTTATATCCCCTGCTTGATTTGTGTGAGGGGATATAGTGATGGGGTGTCTGTTAACGTTCTTCCGTAGGTCCGTAATTCTTTGGGATACCCATCCCTTATCTGCAACTCTAGATACCACCAAACAAAATTTTAATGTGAATTTCACTCGTTATTTCAAAGTGCCATTGTGTACCTTCTATTTTATGTTTCAATCTGACACATGTTTGGAGTTTCCTTTACCGAAGTATTCTTTCTATAATATACATTCTTTCTATAATATTGGAGAAACCCATCTCTTAACAGCAACTTCTCCAATACCACTGAATAAAATTTAATGAGACATTCACAGAATCTTTATTAATACATAGTGTCATTGTGCACCTCCTCTTTTAAGCGTCAATTGGGTTTCCCATAGCATATCATCATGAACATGGGCACTCTTAATCTTTCTATAATATTGAAGGTATCCACCTCTTATGCACAACTCCTTCAACACCACTGAATAAAATTTAATGAGTCTTTCACAGATTCTTTATTACATAGTTTCATTGTGCATCTCCTATTCGTTTCGATCAGGCAGATAGCTGGGCTTTCCCATAAGCAAAACCTGGACTCTGCCATTTTTTCTTGGGATACTTAATATCTGTTATCATCAACTCCCCCTTCATTTAATAAAATTTAAAGAATCTTCATTACATAATGCCATTCTGCACCTCCTATTTCCCATCTCGATTGGACAGTCATTTGGGTTTTTATATAGCAGAACATTTGGTAGCATTATACTCATAGGGGAAAGGAGGAGTGTCATTTTGTGACCTCAGTGGTCTCTGCGCCTTTAGTTTACTCGGTAGCAAAATCTTTTTGCAATAAGGTGTCGGTGAATTCTTTTTACATGTAACCCACTGGGTAAATGGGGGTGGTAAAACGATTACAAAACTCTTCAAGCATTTACAAAGTAACCACTTGATGGAAGGTGTCCAGCAGATATGTAATAAGGTTTTTGAATTTTCAATTTCACCGTTTGGTCAAATGGGGGTCAAAAATAATGTTTTCAACTTCCAATTTGGGCCTTTTTTTTCCTTCTTTACAGAAAAACATTTTTTTCTGAAACTCCCTCTTTTAAAATCAGAATTATCTTTACAATTTTTATATTATGACTGGTAATGAATTGAAATTATACTAACATAACAGACTCATGGTCATACATGTATGTTCACCTGTGCATATTTTTTCTCAATTTTATACATGTATATATATTTTATGTAAATTTATATAGTAATATACATTTAGAAGCAAACATGTATGTGCAGGTATGACTGTCTTTTGACAGCAGCTAGTTTTATTTTTGTGTTGTTTTGATCATAAACCATTTTTAAAATTTTACATACAGGAAATTATATAAATTTCTGACAAAAAAATGTCTAGTAATTTGATTACAATGGGACACAAAATAATATCGTGATGTTTCTATATGCATGAAAACAGAATTGTACAAGATATTAAAATTAAAACTATTTCAAAAGAAAAGTACCTATTAAGCTTGGTAATTCATATCTTATATTTTAATTAAATGCTGATAAATTAAAGGTCAGACAACATGTTCCTCAATTATCTGCTTTTGTGCCTCTTCGTTATTTAACAAAAATATTTATAATCATGATTGTAATCTTGCCATTTCTTAACTGTTTTTAAAGTATCTTTTTTTTTAAAAAGACTAAAAAATTGTGATATCAGAAAATAATTTCCAAAAAAATTATATATTAGGAAACTCCATCCTCCGATACCTTCCACAAATACCTGGAAAGGAACTTTAACTTTTTTGGAAGGAAACTTGTTATACTAATAGTAGAAATACTTCAATGACAAAAACTTGAGAAACTATACATTATTAAGAAACATGTCATCTGACCTAATACACATACATCTATTTCACAAAGTTGGCGTATATCTTGTTTCTCTTCATTTCATGTAAAATTCCTTATTTATGTTGGATCTAAATAAAAAAAAATATTGTTCTTTGATTTTGTGGTGAATTATTGGTAATAAGTACTGTATTAGCTGAAAATGGCTTGAAAATACAAAGACTTTGATTATATTTAGTCAGGTTCTGACTCACAAAATAGTTTTTGTTCAAAGTTCTGATGGGTACACTCTCAAAAATCAAATAGAAAAATTTAAGTACAAAAACTACCCTAAAATGAAGCTAAAATATAATTTGGTCTGTATAATTGCACCTAGAATTTAATGATGGAATAGAAAATAAATCATCATAGATTATCAATTAGATTATAAATTTGAATGATAAAACCTTGTAAACAATCTAAAACACCACTTTTGATTAATCAAGGTGATAAGGGGAAAGACACTGACACACATGATGAGGGAAAACAAAAACACTGACACACAATGAAATACACTGACATTTTGTAAGGAAACATCCTACTTAGCCATGACATCAATGTTGATAGCATTTAGAAACATATATTTGGTAAAAAATAAAAAAGTGGTCACAATGAAGAGGAACAATGCAATAAATACTTGTTATTTCACCTAATAAATAAAGTGACATAAAAAGCTTGAATATTTAAAAATTAATATTTGTAATAGTATATGAGTGAATATTAAGATGCTTTTTTCTCTTTGGCAATGTCTTTATTATATGACGTTTCTTTCTCTGAATCTTTATTCCGTTTGGTTATCTGTTTTCCGTAAGACGACCCCTTCTCCAGCTGAGTAAATCCAATCATGAATTTAGCGAGTAAATTTACTGGAAAAAAAATTCCATTGATTTAATATCATAATATGCCATCTTTGGCATTATACATAGTATTGCATGTGACTAGCTAATGCACAAGTATTTGGGAATTCACAAAATTACATATGACTGTAGGACATGATTTCTTAGCATTAATGAAATGGGACCCTTTGAGATTACAGGTATAAATTACATCAATATAAAACACTTCTATTTTTTTTTCAGTAAGTGGCAGTTCCCATTTTATGTTAGAAAAGTCAAATTAAAAGTTCTTGGCATAACAAGCTCATTAATTTAATGTGTAAGTAGAGGAAATTGTGCAGCATTCTATGACTCTGATCTGGTAATGTAATAAACATTGTCATTCAACATGTTTCATATGAATTGAAAAACACATAAAAATTAAGTTTTGCTACACTTTGTTCTCTATTAATAGTAATTAATTTTAATGAATTTTAATTATTATTGTATGTATTAATCTTTAAGAATAAAATAAATGCAAGAATGAAATTTCTGACAGTCTTGTTTAAGTTGGCATATTCACAAATAAAACAAGATGTGTTTGTGAAACACTATGCTCCCGATGGTAACACAATTCTGGAGTGGGATGTAGACTACAGTGCAATAGTTATGGCCAATGTTTAAGTTTTTCAAATGTAGGTCAAAGGTCACAGTTGAGGTCACATGATCAAAAATTTCTGTACCAATGGAAAGGTCTTGTCATAATGAACATTCATGTCAAATATTATAGCCTTACCTTTGACAGCGCAATAGTTATGGGCTAAGTTAAAGTTGACAACAGACAAACAGACAGACAAATAGACAGACAGGACAAAAACAATATACCCCCAGAATCTTTCGATCCAGGGGCATAAAAATCTTTACAGTAACATAACTCCAGAAAAATACATGTATAATTAACTACACTGTACAAATTAGTTATTAAGGAATAACTGTCTAATTTTTTGGATTCATGATATGATCAATCGAGTGGCTTGCATGATAATTTGCATAAACGCCGAAATTATCACGCAAGCCAATCAATTGATCATCGTCATGAATTCAAAAAATCTGACAGTATTCCTTATATTTACATGCTCCTGATTCTGCAAATTCCCGTGCTAATAGCCCCGCTTCTGTCTCTATTTGTCCCGCCCCGCACATAATTTTTTTAAACCGCGCCTATCGATGAACCAGTAGATTTATGTAGAAATAAAGTATTTTTACAATTTGTAATTTTATCTCGGACAAAGACATTGGAAATGTAAATATTACTGTATGAAGTCAACTCACCTGAAACAAATACCAAGACTACAGTAACTTTATGAAGAAGACTTCCATACAAGAGTACATTGACTAGGTAAAAGAATAATGGCACAAGTGTCACAATGATCCAAAATATATGAACAACTAGGTCATTATAACGTTTTGGTATTAAGAATCCTGGTCGATCCAACTGTTTGGTTGTATAAAACTCTTCTACAACATCATCCTGCAAAAAGATCAAGACCTTTTTGTGCACTAGTAGAAGCTAAAATTACTTTTCAGCACAACTGCTTAATATACATATAAATAAACTATTACCTGGTACTTACTTTTTTTGCCTCTACTTTTATACCAAATTTGGATTTAAAACTTTTCATACATCAAAATTTTCATCACAAAGCAATTCATACTTGACAGTTCATGGAAATATGCACATGGAAAATTAAGAAATTCTTGATAATATGTTGGAGAGAGATTATTGAACAAATCTAATTGATAAAAGTTTATACAAAATTATATAGTGCTACTCCAATTGACAGTCTCTGTGTTTGAGATTAATGACAATTTTTGATAGAGATTTCTTTGTCTAATGCACTAATGACTTTGAAATGATTCAAAAATATTTCTTGCAAATACAGGATTTTTTAAAATACCTTTTCTTTAAATAGATTTCTCAGCCAATCAGAGAGTTCTTCCTCTGAGTCTGGTAGGTCTTTTACCTCATGTCGCCTTTAACAAAAATATACATTGTGTAATTAAAGCAATAACATCATACTATTTTTGGTCATCACATTAACTCTAACATACATTTTAACTCCTTCAAATAACTTGCTTCATACATAATGTACTTTAACAATAGAAAAAATTGGATGGAAAAGGTCGTTTTCACATTTGATTCAAGAATTTTTAAGATAGAAAAATGTTCTGTAAGTGTAGTGATTAAAAAAAATATTTCTAGATCTAGGTTGTATACCTGGCTCGTATTCTGCTCATAATTTTCTTCCCTTCTAAAACATCCATTAGAGAGGGGTAACCTTCATCAAACACCACTGTAGCATCATACACTGCATTCACTGCAAAACAATCAGAATAAACAACAGACATGTATTCCTTAATACTTGTCAATTGGTAAAGAAATCATACTGCATGTATTTAATACCTCAATTTCAAACATTAGTAATATATACATGTGGTTATTGTCATAATAAAAAAAAAAATGATGACAAGTCAGTCATAAGAAGTTAATAATATAAGGTCACATGATATTAAGGTATTTATTTTAAATTAATGATATTAAGTTATAAGTACATGGACAGAGCAAGAGGCAATAACTCCTGATAATTCCCTTATATAATTTGCTTGATATTTTCTCTATTTCATTAATTTCTTTAGGTTGTATCCTTGATTTAACTTACTAGGTACATACATTTTCCTTTAAGTTCCTGTATAGAGTAAGCAAAACCCTTGGGTCTTGGCAGAAGATGGTGTTTCATTATTGGGTATCCCTTTTCCTTGGCAACAATTTGACTGTTTTCTAGTTTCTGGGGTGTTAACCTTGTTCCCTCTGGGAAGAGGAGCAGCTGATCATGAAAGCAAACAAAACAAAAACAAATAAAATGTCTCTTAGAACTATAAATCTCTTAAGACTTTAAATGATAACATACAATTGTATATGTTTTCAAGACAGCATATTGTTTGAAAAGTTTTTTTTTCTTCAAATTATTTGAATTAACAAATAAAAAAACCCACAGTTCAATAAACTCAAATTGTACTAGTTAATATTTTGTTCAAATAACAACAGATACACTAATGTATGAGAACCAGAAACTACATGTATATACTGTTAATAACTTTTTATTTGCAAGAACTTTATTTTTGCGTAATTACACAAGGCTGTCTCCTCGCAAAAATTTCCTTCTCACATATATTTTTATTAGTAAAGATATAGGACAATAGTCATATTTCATGAAAATTTTGTCTCTCTTATAATTGCTAAATACCCATCTCATGGAAATAAGGTGTCACCAATATTTGGTGATCTACAGAATTCATTATGAATGCAATCTAATTCATAAGTGTATTATTGAGTATATAATTATTTTCGTGACAGGTTAAACAGAGAGAAACTCTTACCGTGACCCAGTAGTTGTCCGGATATTCCATGGCTGTCCGGACTCCCTCCTGGATTATCTGTTTATCCTTAGTCCAGTCTCTCTTCAGGAACAGTGACTCTGTGAACCACCACGCCCACCCAATCAGAGGAATGAACTGTAGGACTTTCTTTCCATAGATCTTTGTCGCCTGAAACAAAAAAATGTCTTAATTTTGCTGAAAATGGATACTACATTCAAATCTCATTATCTCAAACTTGATGGGACTGAGAAAAAACTTCAAGATATCTGTAGATTCGAGATAAAATACTCAAAGAATAAGTGGTTGGGGCCTCCAAATCACTTTGACATATCCAATGGCATGGTAATCGAGATATCAGTGTTCAAGATACTGAAGTTCAACAGTACATTGTTAGCTTGTTTTCTTATTCCAGGGCCTAATGCATTTTCTATATTACATGTACTATAGATAGCAAAAAAGAAGATAAAGTCCTTAATAATCACATGTGTTCAACATTGCTAGCTAAGTGTTTCTGATTAGTTTTACTCCTGACCCATTTTTAGAGCTTGTAATAAAGAGCCAACCAGAAAATGCCCTGAGTTATACTGTTGTTATAACATAAACTTTTAAATAAAAATGATTTTTTACACATGGACTGCAGCCATTTTTTTTGTATCATTTTCCATTAAGGAGATTTGTGCTTGGTCATCATCCTTCTATTCACTCATATAATTTTTTTTATGATATTAACATTCAAAAAGAAGTTTTAAATTGATAACTGAAATGCAAAATTGGATAGAAATTACCTTTAAACTTGATAATTATCTGAAATAAATTACCTCTTAATTTGATAATTATCTGAAATAAATTACCTCTTAACTTGATAATTATCTGAAATAAATTACCTCTTAACTTGATAATTATCTAAAATAAGCTACATAATACCAAGTAAATGAAGTAATACCAAAGAGAGTTATCTCTCTTTTCAAAGGCTCAATGAACCTTAAGCCTTACCCCGAGCATTCTCAATCTTTCTGATAATATCCATGCCATCAACCAGTCTATCTCATATTTGTGGTTCATGATGACCATGATGTGTTCACGACCAAGATGTTTTCTTTCCTCTGGGTCCATGTGTAACACACATTCACAACCAGCCCACCACTGGCCAACACTTGTAAACTCTGATCAAAAAGAACAAAAAACTCTATAAATTTTGGTTCTGTATAAATGAGGAGTACCGGTACTACCTTAAATTTTTTTCAGTTTAAGGGGATGCAATTTCATGAACAAAGGTCTAGTTACAGTACCTGAAATGCTCTACTTTCCTACTTGCAAGGTGAGCAAACAGTGAGTGTTTGGTGAGTGAGTTTAAACATTTAAATATTGGCAGAAATTACAAATTTGTGGGTGAGGATTACCCACAAAATTCATGAAAACTGAACCTTAAAAATATTCTGATTCAAAAGTATTTTCTCTGATTGTTTCATTTCATCTTCCTTTCAATGTAAATATTTATGTACTTACGACACCATGAAGCATATGCTAAATAGTAATTGATTTTTCTGAAGAGGGTTTTGTCAAATGGCCATATCACAAGAGTCAGAAGCTGGATAAAGTTCAGGATAAGTGTGCTGACAAAGAATATGTAGGCAAACAGCAGGAACCAGATAGGCCAACTCTTCCAGTTCCCCATGATTCAGCCTGTAAAAAGGAATTTCATGGATTTGATATTCTTCCCTAATACTGACCAATTTTCACAGCTGAAAACTGCGACATGACAAAAATTACATCACTTAGTTTGCAGTTTTCAACTAATATTAATTGGTGAAATATTTCATCATGCCTGAAAAATTCTGGACAAGACATAATTATTGAAAGCAACAAAGCAAACTATTAAAGCATCTATTTTAAGCTTTAACCAAATATCTGTAGTATGTTTTTCTGCACTCACATGGCTTTAAGTTTTACTTATTTTCAATTTACCAAAAACACCAAGTTTTTTTTTCTTTTTTTTTTTTTTTTGACTGTGTGACACATTATAGCAACTCTATGCAGGTAACCTTCTAATCCTTTGAGGATAAATTATTTAACCATGCAGTGTTCAAAATCATAGTAGACACAATAGTCCTAGATAGATCTACAAAGTTGAATGTACAGATAGTGCTCTCAATATTCTTAGATTTGTGATCATACAATTACTCCTTGAATAAAATTATAAAGGAGGTCAGTTATGGTCAACAAGATGATTGGTAAAGATTCAGCACAAAGAAATACTTATCCAGTCCTCACCACATACAAGGTAGTGTACAATTACTCAAACAATGGAAATTCATCTTTTGATTAAAAGTATTCAAAATCTGCAATGTTAGAACTATCTTTGATTTGGGTAGCTTTTATTTTGATAGCCCATATAACATATATGAATAGTCATATACTTGCGACTTTTTGTCCATTTCTTACAAAAAACATTTTTGTGAAAAACTGGATATATAAATAGCTTTATCAAGCTAATTTGAATAGCTTAATCGGGATTGAAATTCTCTTGGAAAACCCACTAATTTTGTCAATGAATAGATTAATCAGGGGTTGAAATTCTCTTGGAAAACCCACTAGCCCAGGAGCTTCTAGCTGATCAGTAATAAAAAATTACTAGCCCAAACCTCAAACTAACTAGCCCAACAATTTTTTATGCAAAACGAAAACATATTAACAAGTTAAAGTTTCAAATGCTGTGGTGATCAACAGAAACAAATTAAACTACAATGTACATTCAAAAGAAATCAGTCTGCATAGAAAAGCAGAAGTAAACTGACGAGAATTTTTTTCCATTCTGCTAGTCCAACAGACTATCATTACATTTAAATTAGCTAGCCCGAGTCTTAAAATGACAAGCCCCGGGCATCAGGCTACCGTATATTTCAACCCCTGTTAATAAAACTATATGGATAGCTATTTCAAGTCATATAGCTAAACCAAGAGATTGTGCTCAGTGGCGTAGCTGCCATTAGGCACTTAAGGCACGTGCCTACACTTAATTTTTCAGAGAAAAATTATAGAAACAAAACTGTAAAAAAGAAAGAAAATCAATAACTAAATATCATTTTCGCCATTGATAGAAAGATCATTAATGTATAAATAACCACCGATCTGTGCAAAGTATAATAATAACCTGCAATAGTTAACCGGCTGTTTCACTATAGGACTCATTACAAAATGTCTTTAAAATTTCTACATGTAAGTAATTAGATATAGATATAAAACTCCCTTGACGGTAACAAGATGTGTTATGTGTATGTGTGGTTAGTGTCATTCTAATTAATAAGTAATTAATTTGGATTAACAGCAATTAACCTTTTTGTGATTGTCTACCCCAATTTACCACTTTTTTGTGGGTAGACTAGTTTTTTTTTTGTTTTGTTTTTTTTTATATAAAAAAAATATATTCGTTCATTATATATTTAATTTTGAATACAATTTAAATAACTTTCTTCTTCATGTTCTTAATTTGATTATGCTGAAAAAATATGAAAACTCTCATAACTAAAGATTTGTGCTAAAAAAATTGGACTGCACTTTTTTTTTAATCTTTTCTACTTAATATGACATTTCATTTTAAAGAGATCCAGAATATTGTATCTTAAATGCCCAGAATTGTTCACCCAGGGGTCTCAAAATCGTGAAATCTATTTTCCGTCGGAGGGGGTGGGGGGCTTCGCCCCCCTGAACCCCCTACCAGGTCACTGCCCTGGACCCGCCGCACACAGGGTAATTTATGCCTATACTTCATTAAAGTTCTAGCTACGCCCCTGGTGCTGGACCAGTTAGCTGTCGTGATGGTTTTTCCTTGGACAAAGTTAGATTATCTGGTCCCACACAATGTTTTGACTATGTTATGTAGCTTGAAAAGTGTGATGAAATAGCTAAATCAAGCTATAGCCTATAGCTAAATCACGAGCTATGTGCCGGACCTGATTATTCTAACTATTTGAAAGGAGCAGCAAAAAGAAAATCTAAAAATAACTTTATATAGCCTAATAGCCTCCATTCAATAGGAAATGTTCATAAACCTTTTGTAAACACCAAAGCTGCTACAAACGCCCGTATCTAAGGTACAACACACACGATCAACTTGAACTCCGTAATCAAGTTACATTGTAGATGTATAGATGCAAACTGAAGTTATTCATTCGCATTTTTATGAATCTATAAAGCTTGCACAATATCAAATTTCCCCCAAAACAGTCTACAAACACAAACGTTTACTAAATTTACCTAGTTTGGCAAATGGCAGTGATTTTTCATTTTTGGACTTTGGATATTGGCTTATTTACTTTTGGTTGTCGTAAAGAGTAAATAAACAAATTAATATAGTCCTATCTTCAAATTATCATTATAATTAGAATTGATAAAAAAAATATCACTTGTTTTCAAATTTTAGGGTTTTAAAAAAATCCTCATTTAAAATTCTTCTTCCGCTTTACGACAACTGTAGGAAACCGGATTTCGTCTAAACGTGGGTTATGATGATGAAACATAGTTGACACACCATATTTCTACAATTTCTGATTATAGAGGAGGGTTTTGAAAAATTAAGGAGTAACGCAGGTATTTTCAATGTCATTTTTAATCCATATATTCATTACTTGAAGAATATTTATTTAAAAGCATTAGACAACATGACCGAGTTGGATCTCGGAATCATGATAGGGCAATGTGGATCACCACTGAAATATAGGGTCCTACTTAAGTAAATGTAAATGCATGGAAAAGGTGAAGAGATGAATTAAATTTTATAGATTATGCACAACCAATCAGTCAGGTTAATGAAATTGTTACTATTAAATGATCTTAAATCTCACACTAGCAGTTGATTTGCCTAATATTGTATTCCTAAAGTCATACTCTCTGCTATTGAGACTCTTTTGTTGGTATTGCTGTAGATACCCTTTTGATAAATAGCCATATCTTCTAATATGAGAATTTTATCTTAGTTAACAGGGTTTGACATTAATTATATTAACTTCTGTGAGTACGAGACCAGTCGGGCTACTTACCATAAATTTTACAAGCCTTGACCATAAATATGATAAAACCACTAGCTCTAACATATTTTGCAAATTTACTAAATGTGCTAGTTTTAATGAAATGAGTTTTGAAAAAATATTTTGATATTATATAAATAGTGCACGTTTTTGAGGGTAACAGTTGAAATTGACACCCCAAGGAAAACCATTGTCAACCAATGTGTCAGCGGAGGTTGACAATGGGTTTACGAGGGGTGTCAATTTCAACTGTTACCCTCAAAAATGTGCACTATTTATTTTATTATACTGAATGTCTTATTGATTTCGGATGTCATAAAAAAGATTCGGAGATCGTCGTTAAGTTCACGCTTAGAAAGCTTTCAAACTCCCTGCTTCTATTTTTCTCCATAAGAAAGCTTCGGAAAAGATTTACCAACCTCTTTATTGTTTGTTTGCTACTCAAAAAGTCCTTTATCATCTAAAGTTTGCACTCGCAAGGATGTTTCGTCTGTCGTTTGTTGTTTTCAAGTAAACTACATCGGATGCAAGCTTTTATTGACGTTGTTTATTCGGCTTCTTTCAAAAGCCCAACCGACGTTTTGAGAATTCTACGGTGAACCGCATGATTTGAACGCATGTGACATTTTTGTAATGTTACCCGTTGTCAAGTGTGTTGCTAATGCTGAGGGTAACATAACGGATTGTTAAATGCGTCTAAACCAATCACATTTTAGTATTTAACATGAAAGTATGATTTATAAAAGATATTGTTTAATGCATGCTAGGGATGATTGAATATCGATATGAAAAAATAAATATCTTGTAATAAAATGATTTATTATATACCCAACTGTTTGTCACTCAGTTTTACTATTGAATTTATGCAATCACGTGATGGTGTGATCCGACGTTCCGGATCACCACACTGTGGTTTTCTGAATCCATATCACCCCTCTCTGAAACTGATGATGTAGTGCACAGATAAATGACGTATTTATTCTCGCGCATCAAAAAGTTCCTTGACAAAATGGTTTGTTTATAATGTTTAAAAGTTATGCAGTTGATCCAAAAAGTTTTCTTTTATTATATTTTGCTAGTTGTAAAGGGGGTATATAATAAATTTATCATTATAACAGTAACTTGATCCGAAGAGCCGTATCACGTCTCGTTGACAGGCGCGGATCATCAGATCAAACTCGACGCTTCGCGTCTCATTTGATCTGATGATCCGCGCCTGTCAACTTGACGTGATACGACTCTTCGGATCAAGTTACTGGTATAATAATATAATATATATTGACAGTGCAACTGTTAGGGTGAGCACAGATACCTACATTGTACCTATTCAGTTTTAATTTAGATCGGCCGGGTCTTTAAACCACACATGACATTTGGTACCGTATGTCTAGAACTCTGAATTCACATGACGTCGTATGTAAGTTGCATTACCAAAACAAAATCTGAACATTGCTATAGTTTTAATTAAAAAAACAATTTACTGTTCTTCTGCAATAACCATTAAATCAATGTGATTTTATGTTTTGTCGAAATTGTAACTACTGCGACAATGAAGAGGCAAATCTAAAACTGAATAGGTACATTCACACAGGTGACTGCGGGAAAAAATCATTTAGATCTATGTGCAAAGTCTGAATTTTCTCTTCACCCAGGCATTGCTTTAGGAACTTGCAGTAACAAGCGGTGCTTCTCACCGCTTGCTGCGCTCGCTATGATATACTATAAAGCAACTTTTATTTGCGTGCGAGAATTATTCTAGAGTTTTGCGACCTACTTTAACTCGCGAATATTAATTGCTGCAAACCATTTATTTTGCTTTGTATTTGACGTAGAGAATAATTCCTCAGTCGCGTTGCGAATTGATTTCAAACTGACGAATCATGAATAGAAGATGACGTGAATAATAGTTGGTTTACAGTATTGTATTGATACACATCACTTTTCATTTTTGTTTTATAAAAAGTAATAAAATATAATTAATCAAAACTTATCACTGTAATATTTTTGAAAATAAATGCAAAGTTCAATGTTCAAACACAACCTTAATGAAATATCAATTTGTACTGTAAACATGGTACACAATTTTTTTGAAAATTAAGCAATTAAATGATGTGAATACTATGATTTTCAAGCACTATTTTAAAAAAAAAGGATATTTCAGATTGCTGTACCAGTTATCATGATATACTAGTATATCTGATTCTTTCATTACATTCCTACTGGACAAGTATCAACAATTTGACAGACTGTTCACTAAGTTGTGGCCAGTTGAGTCGGGTTAATTCAGACATGTGAATATAATATGAATCACTCTCTACCATCAGCTCATATATTCACCTCTGTCGTTGGCTCGCGTATATCACAGTGATAAGCACGAGAAATAATGCGTTTGTTTTACGCAGGTGAGTTAAGGCTAGATATAGGCATTTTTATGCAAATAATGTAATTAAAATGCCCAAGGACTATATCTATTATACAGACAAAGTTAAAATTTATTGTCTAATACATACTTAGTACCCACGACATGAGATAGCAAGTACACATTATGACGTCATTGTTCTGTACTACACAAGATTATAATGTATATCAACAAAAATGCTTCGGCGCAAAGGCATGCTCTATTTTATTTAACTGAAACAGGGTATATTTAGAAGCAAAATATTCCAAAGTTTGCTGGTATTGCTGCACAAATATCAGCAGCTCAGTTGTATAATTTCTATTTGTAATGTTTAAAGTTGAATAGGGGTAAAAATGTACAGTCCGGTATAAGTTTCCTCACATTCCGATCAAATGAGAAAATGCCTAGGATTTGTGCAGCAGTTTTATTAATCTATAGAATATTCTTCTTAGCATTATACAAATTTTATGTAAAAATAAATAGGGTAATCCCTTGCGCCGAAGCTGTTTTGCTGATGTGTTTATTACCTCCAGTAGGTAAGATCAGTGACGTCATAATATGACGTCATAATGTGTACTGGCTATAACATATCGTGGGTACTAAGTATGCATAAGAAAATAAATCAACACTTTCTCTGAATAATAAATATACCTCTTATGCGTTTTTATTAGCTCATTTGCATAGAAACGCCTATACCTAGCCTTAACTCACATGCGTAATTCATTATAATTAAATGTCTGAGCTAGTGATAGTCCTTAAAGATAGATATTTACTAAATGGATATAAAACTATTAGTTTAATTTGAAATAATCATTGAAATGCTATGTTTTTTATGATATGTCAAAAATCTTGACGCGAGCCCATTGCAGAGGTGTCTGAGAGAGGAACGAACGACAACTCTGCATAGGAGATTGAATATGAATATGTGAATATAATTATAAGCATTGTATAAAGATCAATACAATGAACTTCAATCATGTTTTATGAAATTACTTTATTGTAAATAATTATTTATTATTATAGGTCTGAATTCAATTTTTTTGTTTTAAAGATCTGCAGTCCTATATTTAAGATTAATATTCATATTCATTTGTGTTGAGGGTGTTAGGTTTGATTTTGCATTTGTATATAATTAATAAGCATTGTATAAAGATCAATCCAATGAACTTCAATCATGTAATTTAAAAAAATTGAATTCAGATCTATAGGCAACACCAATTTAATTTCTTGTTCGTTGGATATTTGATGAAAAAAGGTACGAGCGGGCATGTGCTAAAATAATAATATTATTACTTTTTTGTAGGCAAAATTCTTAGGTGGAGTGTGAAAAATTTTTAGCGGACAATTATATTTTTTCCTGATTTGCAGAGTAAGCAGATTTAAAATACGAAAAATAGAGCAGAAATGGAATAGAAAATAGCACAGAATTTCCACGGTGCGGGAAATTGAAATTAATATTTTTGTATAGTTTTGCTTAAATACTAGTGTGCGGGTCTGATGAACAAAAAATTTTATTGGTGTGGCCATAATAATAAATTATTTTTTACAATAAAGTAATTTCATAAAAATATTGATTTTGTTGAAATGTACTTGATATAAAATGAGATCTTCCGACATGTCTTTGTCGACTGGGGAAGGGGGGGGGGGGGAGGGTTTTAATTTGGTGCAAAAAAACAGGAAACTAAACTGTTTTGATTAGTTAGATTGGTACATGGTGTAACGCACTCCATATGTCTCTATTACTCTTCTGATTAAGATTAGAAAAAAAAAAATCCTGAACCTGTTATATTTTTAAAAGAAAAGTTAGGACTGAATTCTATTTTGACAAGAATATCTTACATTATAATTACATACAACATTAATTTTTCTAGGCTCCTGTTTTGTTTTTTTTGTTTTTTTTTTTCTTCTAGTCAGAAGCTGTTTCTTTAATTTACTGTACATAATATCTTTTTAAATTAAGTCACATTAAAATGCCTTGAAATTGAATGATATTTCTTGACTCTCTTAAACCCCATTACTCATTGACAATAACAATTTCCCTTTCTGTAGTAATCACTTGTAGAGTGTATCTTAAAGATGGAGCAATTCACACTACCTCTGTCATGTGCCCACTATGTAGACCTGCCCCCAGGATCATGGATCAGCAAATTTAATTAATTAAACTTAAATTTCTATCATCTGTAACTATTACTGTGAAATGGAACTTTTTACAGACATAGCAGTTTGATGATGCAATTTTGAATAGCATATTTATCTTGGACTGTTTGTCTGACTTCTAAAACAAACAGATTTTGACTTAATAAGATGTTTTATGATCCTGGGGCCTGAAGGGATTTCTTAGTAATTATGGCATTTGTGTGGAATATAATTTGAAACATGATTAATGATAGCAACCCAAAAATAGATATGAAGTCACCAAAACATTTGATTTTTTGTTAAGTGCATTCATACTTACCTATGATCATCATCATGTGCATTGTGTTTGACAACATACTGTATATTTCTGTCACTTAATGATCATATTACAATATATTTATTAAGAGCACATAATTATATATTCTTTTATATTTGTAATAATAAGTGTATATTCATAAGCACAGACAGGTAGCCAAATGATTTCTAATAATTAGTTATTACACCTCATTATTCAGTGTACCAGAAAAGCAGACATGTTGCCCTGAGGGGCATATTTCATCATTCATCTGATCAAACAGGAAGCGAAGAGAATACATGTGCATGCATATTTTAAGATTGACATTCAGGTCTATGTAAACAATTGGTGCTACATGTATATTGTACAAATATATATCTGTTGAACTTGAAAGGCGAGAACTTCTTTCACAAAATAATTATTCTAAAAAGAAATGATAGGTTTTGACTGATATGAGTTGACATATTCATTGATAAGAATTAACCAAGATTGCATCATGCTGTATATATATATCTAGAAACTGATTGTTTACAACATACTTAGCTATTGTGAATATTTATTGAATTCAATTTCAAAATAATTTGGATTTTTAATTTTCTTCAGTATGGATGTCAATGGTTTGACTGAGAAAATGGCATCTACATCTGTTTCACTTTCACCAGAAGAGAAATTGGAGATCATCAAAAGGAACCTGCAGGTATACAGACCAATTAATCAAAACTATAAAGGATATTCTTGAAGAGTTCTTTTTCTCATGAATTAGAAATACACTGTAACTCACTGACCATTATATGAAATACATTATACTAGTGTTTTGGCTGTAGTCTAAAAAGGCAAAATAGTTGTTGAACTTTTTGAGCATAACTGTATATCAAGAAGAGATTGTGTTCATTCATTGCAGGCTTTTCATGTTATGAACAAAAATATTTGGTATAGTACACCTCTGAATTTAGTGGGAAAGTGAATCAATTAATAAGTGTTAATACAATGAGGTATTGTAATTAAGCATGTCAAGTCAATTTAGATAAGTCTTATGGATCACAGTAAAACATTTCATTAAAAGTGAACAGACTGAGATTCAAAATTATTTGGAACAACACACTCTGTAGTCTGTACTAGAATAACTGAATTTGATGAATTAAGAAAGTAGAAAAGCAATATAAAACTGTTGTCCTTAGAGAATTGTTATAACAACCTTTTTCTCTATAAATCTAATACATAACTGAAAAGATTTGACAATTTCTAATGGTGATGTAAAGCCCAAGTAAATTAGATACACTCCTGTAACTTCAGTAAACAATGTTTACAAATCAATACATGTACACATGGATTTTACTTCTTTTACGCCTCTAAATATAAATATTATCTGACATATTCTTTTCACAAAAAGCACTGACAAAATAAAGATATATTTATATGCAAGTTATAAATGTTTCCAATATGATCATGATGATAAACAGTCAAACCTCATTATACTGAACTCGATGGAGTCAAGAAAAAAACTTTGAGGTATCTGAGGATTTGAGATTTTAGGGTAATATACTTGAGGAATAAGTGGTTGGGACTTCTCAATCACTTAGACATAACCACAGTATTTGGGATACTGAAGTTCAACTGTATTTTGAATTGTTGTAGGAAATAATAGGAGAGGAGAAGCTAAAAACCATTCTTAAGGAGAGAGATGTGAAGGTTTACTGGGGGACAGCCACTACGGGGAAACCCCACGTGGCATACTTTGTCCCCATGTCTAAGATAGCCGACTTCCTCAGGGCCGGATGTGAGGTAAGTAAAAGTATTGACTGTTGCTCTTTCAACTACAATATAGTTCGAAGTGCAGTTTTCTGTAAAAGCAGGAAGAATCGGGTAAAGTGCAAATGATATATTGCTACATAAGCTGATAATGGTTATTTACTTATTTGAATTTGTTGAAAGAAAAGTTGAGGTCATCACATTTATCATTAAGTTCATTTGTTAGTTTGCCATCTATGTCTTTTTCTAGTAAAACAAAATATGAAAAAGATATGTCAGACTCTATGGTGACTTCTTTCAAGTTCAGCGACATAATTACATGGAATCAATGAATAATTGTTAATTGATAAAACATTGTCTTTATTTGTAAACATTGAATTTAATACCTTAATTTCCTCTTTTTTTCAGGTAACCATTCTGTTTGCAGACTTACATGCTTACCTAGACAATATGAAGGCCCCCTGGGATCTGCTGAGTTTACGAGTCCAGTACTATGAGAGAGTCATCAAAGCCATGCTCAAATCTATAGGGGTTCCCCTAGACAAACTGAAGTTTGTGAAGGGCTCAGACTACCAGCTCAGCAAGTAAGTAGATAAGTTCATTGTATAGGAAAGTTTAGTATAGCATTATTGTTAAGATATTTCCCATTTTTAAAATTTTAGAAATTTATAGAAAAATTTCAGAGGGTGAGAAGAACGATTAATGTTTCAACCTTAAATAATGATAAAAAAAAGTGGAGTTTTTTTTTTTTAATATTTTTTTTTCTGATTACAAGGTTGCAATAAACTCATTAGAACTTGACTTTGTCTTGACACAGTACATATGTAGACTACATGAACATGCATCGGACATGCAGATAGGGTGACATCATACTCAAAATTTTTGTATGAATGCAATCAATTATTAATAATGAATCCAATTTTAATCAGATTAATGTATTAGAAATAATTAATACATATGTTAATGTACAATATGTCCTAGGATCACAAAAAAGGTTGATTCAATCATCTTTAAGTTGTCCATATTTAAATATGAACATAAGGAAGTATACTGATTTTGACTTAAGTCTTCTTTCATGGTCTATGGCTAGACGATATTTCTTTTCTGAGAGGTTTCAGCAGTTATATGATTTATCATGTGCTTCAGTGTACATATATAACCTCTACACCAAAAAAATGACAGGAATATCTTTTAATAATATTGCCATATTTATAACAGAAAAAATAAAGATATGAAGTGGAAACTTTTACAATGTGGAAATGTTGACAAAATTGATGAATTTCTTAAAGTCATCAAAGTTTCATCTCGCCGACTTTCATATTCCTCTTAAAGAGAGCACTGTTTAAATACTTGAAAATTGTCATTTTCTATTTTGCCTTTTTTCTTATATGGAATTTGTCAAATATTTCACAAACCTTCAACAAATTCATTATACCGGTAACCACTTTAATTTACAATATCTCTCTAATATAAGGATGAATTACATATTTATTTTCTCTGCAGAGAGTACACTCTGGATGTGTACAGAATGTCATCTATGGTAACAGAACACGATGCCAAGAAAGCGGGGGCTGAGGTAGTCAAGCAGGTGGGGAATCCCCTCCTAAGTGGCCTCCTATACCCAGGACTGCAGGTATCAGTGCTGACTGTGCTAACAAACTTAATTGATTTACAAAATTGTCTATGAATAAGGCAAATACATGTAATATGTTATTAAATACTGAAATCAGAAATAATGAAATTTAAGTATTTACAAGACCAAATTTTTAACAGACCAAGTGTAGTTTTTTAAGGCACAATTTTATAAAATTAATGTAGATTTTCTGGGTAATGTTTAAATGAAATTTGAATTGAATTTTCATATTTGTTAGGCTCTAGATGAGGAGTACTTAAAGGTTGATGCTCAATTTGGAGGTGTAGATCAGAGGAAAATCTTCACATTTGCTGAAAAGGTTGGTTTGAGGTCTGACGACATGTTGGTCGAATATCTGTTTTGTATTTCTTCGTAAAATACAACAGATTAATCATTATTATCACTTATTTCTGTTTTTTTAAATTGTTTTCAAAATGTCTAAGTAGACAAAGACACAAAAAATTGTGATATTGACAATACTAGTGATTTCCAATAGGATTCTATAGTAAATAACATCCTCAGGAGAAGAACTTGTAAGTTGTAAGAAGTTCTTAACACAAAAGGATTAGAAACAAGTTCTTAGAACTTGTTTCTAATCCTTTTGTGTTAAACAATAAAATATGTTCAAATCAAAATCCTCTGGTATCTTGCAAAAATGCCTGGTAAGGTACATTAATTTTTTGCAAGGAAACTTGATTAAGTAGCAATTATTGAGGAACTAAAATACAAATTTTAATGCAAAGAGTGAACCCCATACATGGAAAATTGAAAGGTGAATTTTCTAAAATCAGTGTTTAATGATGTGGTGTTAATCAATATTTAATGAAAAGTTGAAAATGAAAATTATTTTAAATTTTATTGTTTTTCAGTACCTACCTCATTTAGGGTACACAAAAAGAATTCATCTCATGAATCCTATGGGTAAGTTAACTTCTGAAACATTGAGTTCATTCTAAATCTTTGTAACAAATAATTTATATACTGTACATGTATAATTACCAGTTACGTAACAGAGAATATGATAAAATTTGAAAATATTTTCTCAGGCTGAGCTTTGTATGCTTGATGGTTATAAAAGTATAAAGATACATTTCACATATGTATTTCAGACAATCTTAAAGTTCATGGTACTGAACTATGTGTAAGATAAAAATATTGATGTGTCTAAGATTTTTCATTGATTGAATTTAATCATGGATTAAACTTCTACAACAAAGAGTATCAATCTGAAAAGATAATATGATACATAAATGTATAAATATGTTTACTGTTGTATGAAATTTCAAGAAATCCTTATAAGCAAGTTTAACTCAATACTTGAACTAGTAAAGTTTAAATGAATGCCAGTGAAATGAGAAACAAGGCTCACTTAAAGTATTGGTATTTATTAATATTCTGAATTTTTCTAGAAAATTAATATTAATTTTAATGAACTACATTATGACGTTAATTGTTAATATTCTGTTTTGATTACCCACAGTGCCTGGGCTGACGGGGGACAAAATGAGTTCCTCCGTGGAGGATTCTAAGATTGATTTACTGGATTCCCCCGCTGCTCTGAAAAAGAAGCTGAAGAAAGCCTTCTGTGAGCCGGGCAATGTGAAGGATAATGGTGTCTTGTCCTTCTGTCAACATGTATTGTTCCCACTCAGAGCTAAAGAAGGTGAGGGTATTGTTAAGATTTTATGTTGTGATACAATGTATACTAGCCCAAATATCAAAATTTTTTTAAAAAAATGCTGTGATGGGGTAATAAAAACTATATTAGAGGGGTTGAGATTTTAAACTTGTATGCATACGTGTACGTGTGCACAAACTTTGACGTACACGTACACGTTTATCGTAATTTGTTGAGATTTTAATGATGTGTAACATGAACGTGTAGACTGCAATTGGTGTCTCTGTTTCAACTATTTAGTAGTTTTGTGACATTAGTTTGACTTTATTTAGTGAACAAAACATGGTTAAAATAATCTATACTTATAAATTAATAAATTTTGCAAATAAACTCCGAAACGGGTGCACCAGAGTTCTTACTTACTCCTCTAAGAATACACACGATACAAGATGATGTCCATAAACTATATTTAGATTTCACTTGCATTGTAAGTATCGTACATTAAATTAAAAGTCTACTTTTATTTTCTATAAACAGCCATGAAATAGCAAAAATGTGAGTACGGTGGCGTTTTCGGTTGGCGGATCTAAGTTACTGGCAATTTTTAATGAAACTGACAACAAGCAATCGTTTATTTATTTCATTAAACGTCATTACTGAATTATTCAATCAAAACTTGATTTAAATGATATAAAAGAAATAAGTTGTGATAACCGATTAAAAAGGAAAATGTGCAAATTATTTTCGTCATTGACCGATCGTAATATTGACGGAAGCTTCTAGAACATCATTAGCATCGAGCCCGATGTTAAAAAGAAAAACGAGGCGATTAATATAGCTGCTTTAACATAAAAAAAGCTTTTGTGTAAATGGTCATTGATATAATGGTAAAACATTGATAACACTGTAAGTTGTGAATATATTTATATATCGAAAGACTATTACATATATGTAGTAGGTTTTCCTAATAAATTTATCGCTAAAATTTGTATATATATATATTCCTCACTGAGAGCATCGTGGCAACGATCCCGAAGTACAATTTGTACTGCGTAATAAAGTTGCTTACATGAAAAGAGAATATTAATGAATAAGGCATTATTCAAATACAATTATGCTGTAAAATTTTGTGCTTTAATCAATACATTTCAGTTTTTCCTGAATACAGTCTTTTGTATCAAATACTCGGCCTATTTTCCAGTGGCAGATCCAGGAATCTTGAGAAGGGGGGGGGGACCAGTTTGGGGTTGGGGTAGGGGCCCACGGACACACCGAAAAAAATTGATTTATTAAATTTTATGTATATTTTGGACACAAAACGAGAGGGGGGCTGGGCCCCCTCTCTAAATTCGCCAGTGTATTCATAGGGCGTTAAATATAAAAGCTAATTTTTACACAGGTACTTGGGCCTTGGATTATAAATATGTATGTACCTTATTGATATTTAAAAAAAGAGGTAAGGTACAGTTTTTACATATCAATAAGGCACATACATATTTAAACCAAGACCCAAGTACCTGTGAATTTTTACCAAAAAAAAATCTATTTCTCAGAAAAATGCGCATATTCACTGCTTTTATTCTTGACGGAAATGAATAAGAGCATCTGAAGTACAATATTAACATAATATATACAATATCCATAACATAGTATATAACAGGTTTCACAATAAACGTCAATTAATGATATTGTTATTTAAGTTTTACAAAGGGGGGGGGGGGGGGGTTAGAGAGGTACTTCATGCGGGATTTTGAACAAAGTATTTCTTCCTGCTATAAGCCTGTAGGCTGTCAGTAGAAACTACAATGTATATATTATTAGATTTTTTCTGTCGGTAGTGGTATAAATTCAATTCCCCGCGCTTGCGCAGGATTTCATCTAGTTGTTTAAAAATAAATTGACAAGTTTTTATTGAAAAAGCTGCAAGTTTACACCTACGTGTAGATGCCTTTTTACAAGTTGTAGGAACATGTAGAAAACTTATCAAAACCAAAACTGATGACCTAATACGCAAGAAATTTAGGGAATTCCCCCTACTAGACGTACACGTACACGTATGAAATCTCAACCTCTCTATTGTGAAAAACTTGGCTGACATATCATAAATTAGCTAGGGAATAGGCTTCTCTCTTGGTTTCAATTTACATCAAATTTACCACCTACAAATGTACTGATCAATACTTGTCTTTTAATTTGAAACATTTTTGTAAAATTGATATTGAGCGTAGATTATCTCCCTTTAACCACTGACAGTTTGTATTTTTCTTGTTTACAATGTGTTTGTTATTCTGTAGGTTTCCTTGTAACCAGGAAGCCAGAGTTTGGTGGGGACTCACTGTACGCCACCTATGATGACTTAGAAAAGGCATTTGCTAAAGAGGTATTTAAAGAAAGAAAAGAATTTATTGTTGAAGATTGTATCCAATAGCCTTAGCTCATACTGTACAAATGGAAGACAATTTTTAGAAATCAATAATTATGCAGTTCCCTATAAATGAAAGAATATGACAGGTTTGGGATACACATCTTCATACATACATGTTTATGATTTCCTATCAAGAAGTTATTTTAAAATATTTAAAGCATTTAAAACTGTTTTAATAGATGCAGTTTACCAAATATTTCGATATTTATTAGTCAGAGTATATATCTCATAAATATATATTATTTTAATATTTAAGACTTATTCATCAGCGAAAAAAATACTTTACAAGAATATTTATAATGGCAAATTTACATATTTGAATTTTAATAGGAAGTACATCCTGGAGATCTGAAGGTTGCAGTGGAAGGATATTTAAATGAGCTGCTGGAACCAATCAGAAAAGAGTTTGAGTCAGCTGAGAACAAAAAACTGGTGGCCCAGGCTTACCCTGTAGAGAAGAAAAGTAAGGGAGCTTACTCTTGATGCATTTGTGTTTTAGGCTTAAACTAAAAAAAAAATAATTAAAACAAAATAAATACTATCAATGTCTTAATTTGATTTCAATTTTTTGGGTAAATCTTATTTACCTCTCTGATTAAAAAAAATATTTTTTTTCTGATTTAATATTATATCAAGAAAAGAAAAACACACCTGAGTAAGACATACATGTAATTCAAAAATTAAATACTGAGCAGATGTTATGTGATTTTTTTTCATTTACATGTATTTTTAAAAGTGTTATGTTAAAAGCATGTGTGAAACTTACAGTACTTTTTAGATTGCGTGTGTGTATGTTTGTTTTATCTTTAATTATGGATGTTTAAATACATGTAGTACTTTTATTTTACAGAGAAGCCAGGCACTCAGCCGGCAGCTGGTGGGACAGGAGAACTCGCTCCTTCATTATTAGATCTACGAGTCGGCAAAATCCTGGAGGTCAAAAAGGTCAATTGTGTTCACATTTTTCTAGCTACATTAATATTGATGTCAATTTGTTTTTTCATATTTACTCTAAGTTATTTTTTAAAAAAATAATCAGACTGAGTATTTTATGAATCTAAACCTAGAAAGTAATTGGTCACAAGTCTTCACATATGATATTAAACACAGCAAGATAATAATAAATATATTTTCTCATAATATTTTTGTAAACTTAAAAAATCGTTAAATGTATCTTAAATAGTTGTCACTTTTCATTCTTTGAGAAGTATCGGATTGTTGAGTCAGTGTACACAAAAACAAGTTTTTTAGAGAAATATTTTTGATAATAATTTTTGACTTTTTTTTTCTGTGTGTAGCGTGTAGCATCCATACACATACTCACTGGAATTACATAGAAAAATTTGAAAAATATTTTTTTTTTTAATAATTGTTGATTTTCCTCTGTGTATAGCATCCTGATGCTGAGTCTCTGTACATAGAAACAGTGGACATTGGGGAGGAGAAGCCGCGGACAGTGGTCAGTGGTCTGGCTGGACTGTACCCTATGGAGAACCTGCATGAGAGACTGGGGGTGTTCCTGTGTAATCTCAAGGCAGTCAAAATGAGGGGCGTGGAATCCCAGGCCATGCTTATGTGTGCCTCAGTGTAAGTTATTAAGTAAATATATATGATGAGTGCTTTTTAACAAATGCACTAATTATCATTACATAATACATGCATATATTTGCATGTTATTAATTTCATGAATTAAATGAAGAAACTATACAGTCATGTGGGGTTTATTTCTGTGGTACCATGACAGCATACTGTAAGCGTATTACATTTGGCTACATGTATTCTTTTTAGTGCTTTTGGCGGAAAGAAACTTCAGCTAATTCATTACAATGCTAAATGTCTTGCATTGATATACATAGATAAGAACATTAAGAAATGTGCTAAATCAAATGTACGCTAACTTGTTCAAAAATCAATTTCCACCAAATATCGCAAACGCTAAATAAAATACATTTACAGTATTATTAACACTAAATGAAATGTGTATAATAGCATTTGGGCATCGGAAATTATTGACTATATTTAATTACCCCATGTATGAAATTCAGGTTGTCAGAACAAGTGACCAACACAGTTTTGTATCATTTTGAATGTATTCATTATTTATATCAGAACTAAACCTGTTCTGTTTTGCATACCAACTTTCAGTTCACTTAATTAAAATTAGTCATCTGTCTTAATTATTCAAAACCATGTACTAGGAGCATATTTATGAGAACTTTTCTCTTATTTTTGTGCATTAACTTGAATGTATACAGCAGAAAAATTAATGTTCTAATAATGTTTTATTTTTGGTTTAATATCAAAAGTTCCTGTGAAGAACTAATACAAATCTCAGGTTTCCCCTCTTTGTGTTGTAGAGATGAGCCGCGGGCTGTAGAACCTTTAGATCCACCCCAGGGAAGTGCCCCGGGGGACAGGGTTGTGTTTGAAGGATTTGAGGAGGGAACCCCTGAAGAAGAATTAAAACCCAAGAAGAAAGTCTGGGAAAAATTACAGGTACAGTGTTAGAGGGAAAAATTACAGGTACAGTGTTAGAGGGAAAAATTACAGGTACAGGGTTAGAGGGAAAAATTACAGGTACAGTGTTAGAGGGAAAAATTACAGGTACAGTGTTAGAGGGAAAAATTACAGGTACAGTGTTAGAGGGAAAAATTACAGGTACAGTGTTAGAGGGAAAAATTACAGGTACAGTGTTAGAGGGAAAAATTACAGGTACAGTGTTAGAGGGAAAAATTACAGGTACAGGGTTAGAGGGAAAAATTACAGGTACAGGGTTAGAGGGAAAAATTACAGGTACAGTGTTAGAGTGGACTCTTCACATACTTAAATTTCACATGTCATATTGTAAACAAAATAATATTTGCAGCAACATTTATTCATTTGTAAGTTTTGAATGTTGTGTAATTTTTGCGATTGAAGAAACATTAATATAAAGGCACAATTAAATGTGAAATGGTTAGCAGCAAGAGATATTCACCAAGTAAACAAAGATCGTAAAAACGTGTAAATATCTCTCGCACATGAATAAAAGTGTATGTCTGAGTGAGATTTTGCTAAGGTAATATTTTCTTTACTTGTAGGTGGATTTGAGAGTGGACGGGGACAGTAAAGCTGAATGGCAGGGCCACATAATGAAAACAAAACTAGGAAACGTCACAGCTAACAGTCTAAAATGTGTTCCTATCAAGTGATAGAAAAAAAGACTTCATTTAGAGACCACAGTGCTTTGTTATTTATTATCATTTTGTTTCTTTATGACAAAAACAATTTTTGTGAAGTCACCCAATCTTATACAATCTACTTCGTTTTTTAATTATCTCTGGGTATGACCATTATTTCTGCAAAAATGAGAATTAAAGTGTATTCATAAATTAATATTTTTTACACTTTGGAGCTTGTTTTATTTTTGGTGCATATATCGAAGATATTTTGGAGATTTGTAAATTGAATTTTACTGTTTTATTTAATACATTTAAATAAATTTTTCAAGACCACCTGGGAATGAAGCTTATTGTTTTTTATAGGTTCATACAAATAAATGTAAGTCAAGGCTTTGGGAGGCAATTTGTTTAATGTGATGACAGAGTAACATATAGGTAGCACATGACATGTGTTCTTATATTCAGTGTAAAAAAAAAAGTCAGAAGACATCTTCCTCAATAATATATAATTTTCACATTGATTTTGTCTTTTAAGTACATGTATTGCCACTTCTACAAGTTTTCTCATAAAAAATTGAGGTACTTTATAAGGCATTTTATTTTGTGCATGATACCAGAGGGTGGTGTTCCGACATAATCCTATTGGAAATCACGAATTACCAATATAATTTTTGGTGTTTTTAGCTCACCTGAGCCGAAGGCTCAAGTGAGCTTTTCTGATCACATTTTGTCTGTAGTCCGTCTGTCCGTCCGTCCGTCTGTCTGTCCGTCTGTAAACTTTTCACATTTTCGACTTCTTCTCAAGAACCACTGGGCCAATTTCAACCAAACTTGCCACAAAGTATCCTTGGGTAAAGGGGATTCAAGTTTGTTCAAATGAAGGGCCACGCCCTCTTCCAAGGGGAGATAATTAAGAATTCGTGAAAAATTAATGGCATCATTAAAAAATCTTCTTCTCAAGAACCACTGTGCTTGAAAACATGAAACTTATGTGGAAGCATCCTCAGGTAGTGTAGATTCAAGTTTGTTCAAATCATGACCCCCGGGGGTAGGGTGGGGCCACAATGGGCGATCAAAGTTTTACATAGGAAATATACAGGAAAAATCTTTAAAAATCTTCTTCTCAAGAACAGCAAAGCCATACTTGGTCATATTTATATGGTAGCATCCTCAGATAGTGTAGATTCAAGTTTGTTCAAATCAGGACCCCCGGGGGTCGGGTGGGGCCACAATGGGCGATCAAAGTTTTACATAGGAATATATAGGAAAAATCTTTAAAAATCTTCTTCTCAAGAACAGCAAAGCCATAATTGGTCATATTTACATGGAAGCATCCTCAGGTAGTGTAGATTCAAATTTGTTCAAATCATGACCCCCGGGGGTCGGGTGGGGCCACAATGGGTGATCAAAGTGTTGCATAGGAATATATAGGAAAAATCTTTAAAAATCTTCTTCTCAAGAACAACAAAGCCATCATTGGTCATATTTATATGGTAGCATCCTCAGGTAGTGTAGATTCAAGTTTGTTCAACTCATGACCCCCGGGGGTCGGGTGGGACCACAATGGGCGATCAAAGTTTTACATAGGAATATATAGGAAAAATCTTTAAAAATCTTCTTCTCAAGAACAGCAAAGCCATGATTGCTCATATTTACATGGAAGCATCCTCAGGGAGTGTAGATATCAGATTTGTTCAACTCATGACCCCCGGGGGTCGGGTGGGGCCACAATGGGAGATCAAAGTTTTACATAGGAACACATAGTAAAAACCTTCTTCTCAAGAACAGCAAAGCCATGATTGGTCATATTTATATGGTAGCATCCTCAGATAGTGTAGATATCAGATTTGTTCAACTCATGACCCCCGGGGGTCGGGTGGGGCCACAATGGGAGATCAAAGTTTTACATTGGAACACATAGTAAAAATTCTAAAAAAAAAAAACAATTTGTTAAGAATACCAAAGCCATGATTGGTCATATTTATATGGTAGCATCCTCAGATAGTGTAAATACAAATGTGTTCGAATCATGACCCCCGGGGGTCGGGTGGGGCCACAATGGGCGATCAAAGTTTTACATTGGAACACATAGTAAAAATCTTTAAAAAAAACTATTTGTTAAGAATAGCAAAGCCATGATTGGTCATATTTATATGGAAGCATTCTTAGATAGTGTACATTCAAGTTTGTTCAAACATGACCCCTGTGGGTCGGGTGGGGCCACAATGGGTGATCAAAGTTTTACATAGGAATACATAGGTTAAATCTTTAAAGATCTTCTACTCAAGAACAGCAAAGCCATGATTGGTCATATTTAAATGGAAGCATCCTCAGATAATGTAGATTCAAATTTGTTCAGTTCCTGACACCCCCCCCCCCAACCACTTTTATATTTAAACTTTTCAACCTTTCAAGATTGAAGTGATTTCTGCTTTTTCCTAGCCATAGTGCTCAGGTGAGCGATGTGGCCCCTGGGCCTCTTGTTTTTTTTTAAAGACATTTTGAAAACACTTAAGAAATCAAAAGGTGATGCTAATTATCAATATTTAATATATAATTTGAAGAGCTGGAACCAAGGACCTCCGGCATACTATACTAGTGCTTTAACCACTGAGCTACTAAGACCTGATATATAGACTGACTTCCCACACTTGTGAAACAGGTGTCACTTAAATCCCTAAAACAGCCAAACTTTTTCGTATGTCTCCATAATTCATGTATTTGAGGTTCATAACCTTGTAAACCTGAATGAGAATTTATTTTGTGTGCTTTATGTACTATGTTCATGCTATGTACCAGCATATCATTAATATATCTATATTAATGTATTTTTAAAACTCGTCAAAATTAAAGTTTAATTTTTAGCTCACCTGAGCTGAAAGCTCAAGTGAGCTTTTCTGATCACCCGTCGTCCGTCCGTCTGTCCGTCCGTCCGTCCGTCCGTCTGTAAACTTTTCACATTTTCAACTTCTTCTCAAGAACCACTGGGCCAATTTTAACCAAACTTGGTACAAAGTATCCTTGGGTAAAGGGGAGTGTAAATTGTCAAAATAAAGGACCAAGTCCCCTTACAAGGGGAGATAATCAAGAAAAGACAAAAATAGGGTGGGGTCATTAAAAAAACTTCTTCTCAAGAACCACTGGGCCAGAAAAGCTGAAACTTATGTGGAAGCATCCTGGGATAGTGTAGATTCTAAATTGTTAAAATCATGACCCCCGGGGGTAGGGCGGGGCCACAATAGGGAATCCAAGTTTTACACTGAAATACATAAGAAAAATCTTTAAAAATCTTCTTCTCAAGAACCACAGGGCCAGAAAAGCTGAAACTTATATTGAAGCATCCTGGGGTAGTGTAGATTCTAAATTGTTCAAATCATGACCCCCGGGGGTAGGGTGGGGCCACAATAGGGAATCCAAGTTTTACATTGAAATATATAGGAAAAATCTTAAAAAATCTTCTTCTCAAGAACCACTGAGTCAGAAAAGCTGAAACTTATATGGAAGCATCCTGGGATAGTGTAGATTCTAAATTGTTAAAATCATGACCCCCGGGGGTAGGGCGGGGCCACAATAGGGAATCCAAGTTTTACACTGAAATACATAAGAAAAATCTTTAAAAATCTTCTTCTCAAGAACCACAGGGCCAGAAAAGCTGAAACTTATATGGAAGCATCCTGGGGTAGTGTAGATTCTAAATTGTTCAAATCATGACCCCCGGGGGTAGGGTGGGGCCACAATAGGGAATCCAAGTTTTACATTGAAATATATAGGAAAAATCTTAAAAAGTCTTCTTCTCAAGAACCACTGAGTCAGAAAAGCTGAAACTTATATGGAAGCATCCTGGGTTAGTGTAGATTCTAAATTGTTAAAATCATGACCCCCGGGGGTAGGGCGGGGCCACAATAAGGAATCCAAGTTTTACATTGAAATACATAAGAGAAATCTTTAAAAATCTTCTTCTCAAGAACCACTGGGCCAGAAAAGCTGAAACTTATATGGAAGCATCCTGGGGTAGTGTAGAATCTAAATTGTTCAAATCATGACCCCCGGGGGTAGAGCGGGGCCACAATAGGGAATCCAAGTTTTACATTGAAATATATAAGAAAAATCTTAAAAAATCTTCTTCTCAAGATCCACAGGGCCAGAAATATTGAAACTTATATGGAAGCATCCTGGGGTAGTGTAGATTCTAAATTGTTCAAATCATGACCCCTGGGGGTAGGGCGGGGCCACAATAGGGAATCCAAGTTTTACATTGAAATATATAGGAAAAATCTTTAAAAATCTTCTTCTCAAGAACCACTGGGCCAGAAAAGCTGATACTTATATTGAAGCATCCTGGGGTAGTGTAGATTCTAAATTGTTCAAATCATGACCCCCGGGGGTAGGGCGGGGCCATAATAGGGAATCTTAGTTTTACATTGAAATACATAAAAAAAATCTTTAAAAATCTTCTTCTCAAGAACCACTGGGCCAGAAAAGCTGATACTTATATGGAAGCATCCTGGGGTAGTGTAGATTCTAAATTGTTCAAATCTTGACCCCTGGAGGTAGGGCCGGCCACAATAGGGAATCCAAGTTTTACATTGAAATATATAAGAAAAATCTTTAAAAATCTTTTCAAGAACCACTGGACCAATAAAGCTGAAACATATTTGGAAGCATCCTGAAGTAGTGTAGATTCTAAATTGTTCAAATCATGACCCCCGGGGGTAGGGCGGAGCCACAATAGGTATACAGTGGCGCCGCGTTTATCCGGACGCCATTTATCCGGACGCTTCACCATCCGGACGATTTTTTTTTTGGGAACCGATTTTTTCCACGTTATTTTGTCTCATTAATCCGGAAATTCGCGTTCCGTATCCGGACGGTCAATTTCTACTACAAAACGTAATAGTTCATTGAAAAATGACTCGTTTATCCGGACGGTAATTTTTCAAGAAACGACTTTTTCACACAATAATCTGTTCAAATCATATTTCTAACCGTATGTACATCGGTAAATTCATGAGAATTTTGGAGAGTTGTAAATAAAGTAAACAATAAATC